GGTAGGTAGGTGTCTCTCTCCCCCGGCTGACAGCGGCCGCTTCAATGGGAGCCGCGCTGCCGCCCTCTCCCGGCTCTGTGCGCTGCAAAGCCTTCCCAAACCTCTGCATTCCCAGCACAGCCAGCCGCCCACTAACAAACAAGGGGGAAAAATGGAAAAATAAAACCAGGGAAAAAAAAACAAACAAACAAGCACCAAGGAGAAAATGGAAAAAAAATATTAAAAAAAAAGGGGGGGGGGAGAGGAAAAAAGGGGGGAAAGGAGAAAGAGAGAGAAATAAAGAAAAAGAAAGAGAGAGAGAAAAAGAAAGAGAGAGAAAGAGAGGAAAAGAAAGAAAGAGAAAGAGAGAGAGAGAGAGAAAGAAAGAGAGAGAGAAAGAAAGAGAGAAAGAGAGAAAGAGAGAAAGAGAAAGAGAGAAAGAGAGAAAGAGAGAAAGAGAGAAAGAGAGAAAGAGAGAAAGAAAGAAAGAAAGAAAGAAAGAAAGAAAGAAAGAAAGAAAGAAAGAGAGAGAGAAAAAGAAAGAAAGAAAGAAAGAAAGAAAGAAAGAAAGAAAGAAAGAAAGAAAGAAAGAAAGAAAGAAAGAAAGAAAGAAAGAAAAGAAAGAAAGTTAATCCACAAACACCAGAGGTTTATGTCCAAAAAGGAGACAGAGGAGTCCTTTTACTTTATTCGAATAAAGGGAGGGGCGATGGGGCATTCCCCTGGGGTTTCTCAAATTTTTGGAGGGCACAGCCTCCTTTTTATCCTAATTTCCCGGCCGTATGTCCCTTCTCTCTTTCCCCATAGGCTGAGGTACTTGAGAGGTACAGACTTCCTGGAATGCCTAATACCTAAGACAGTGCATAACCCCCCTCTTAATTCTTAACTCTTGTGGAATTCATAGTGTTTCCTCAGTGTCCCTTCCAGTGGAATCCATCCCATTGTTTCTGTTACCTCTCAGTAACAGCAGACCCACAGCTTGTTTGTAAAGACAAACCTGTCATTCCTCTCAAAAGAAAGAGAAGAAAGAAAAAGAGATAAAAGAAAAATTGATTAAAAAAAAAAATCTACCTTACATCTTAGAGACTTTCCATTTTGTAGTGTGTAAAGGAATTTGCAAAAATTGCCTCAACCTGCATACAGCAGATACCAAACATAATTTCTCCATTGTGTTGGTCACTTCAATGCTTGTATTTCTGAAAATGGCATTTAGGAGAAGAGGAGAGGAGGGGAGGGGAGGAGAGGGGGAGGAGATTGTTCTTCAGTGAGGGGGTGGCCGAGCACTGTAACAAGATCTCAGCATTGATGGTCCCAAACCTGTTGCTGTTCAATAAGCACTTCTAAAATGACCTTAGATAAATACTTTCACTTTTAGGCTGTTCTGTGTGGAGTCACAAGTTGTACTCCATGTTCCTCATGGGTCCCCTGCAACTGAGAATATTCTATGATTCTAAGTATTACCACTATAACTCAATCCCACTTAGTTACCGTGCTTGCAGGACAAGATCTCAAAATACAATAGCAATATATTAGCAAATACTAACATTTAATGAAATAAGGCAAATATTTTTTCTCATTAGGGTTTTTCTAAAAGTATCAAAACACTGTATGAACTACCAGCACAAAAACAGTATCAGTTCCTGCTTCCAGTTCTTGCTCCTGGGGCAGGGAACATTTTATGCCACACACTGTGTAAGACAGCAATGTAAAAGACAGACAGGGAAGGGATACAGAAAACATTATCTCCATTTCACAGCTCAGAAGAGAAGCACAAAAAGATTAAAGGGAACACCCAAAGTCATTTGCACACTGGACTGAGCTGGGGATATTGTATAAAAGCATAAGCACTTTGATCTGTTCCATCATGGCATATCAAGGAAGCAGGATAGGAGATGAGGGCAGATGCCTCTGTGCTCTTATTGACGCAACGTTTTCCCATTTTTACTTGTAGGGATTCTGGAGAAACAAAGCCTTTCCTCCTCATGTCATAACTGCTTGGAGGTTCTCCTGACCTTTTTCCCCCCTCCCATTTTTCCAGGTGATTAAGCTGTGCAGTCAGAAAGCATGACTATAATGCCAAGAAGCCAGCAATTTTAACACCACAAAAGGGTAATTGTGTAATACTTCAGGCCATATTAGTTTCAGTACAGACTGACCCTCAGCTGGTGATGACAGAGTGCCAACATCTCCCAGCACAATGACTGACAGAACTGGGACATGGCAAATTGCACTTTCAAAGCCTGCAGCAGAACAAGAGTTAGGGGACTTGCTTTGCATTAAAACAGGCTTGTACCATATTCTTAGAACAAGGGATGAAGTAGGACAGCACATGACTACTTCCCTTCTAAACCATTCCACTTGAAATATCTTTTACCCTCCTCTCATTCTCCTTTGCTGGCTTGTGAAAGACAGTTGCCCATACCATTAGTGCAACATTGCCTGAATTCTTACACTATACTATACATTTGTACTACATTAAAGAGATTTTTACTACCTGCAAATGTCACATTAACTGGAAGAACAGCTTAGGTTGCGACATCTATCAATGTGTGAGTAACCTCAACTCAGTGGTGCAATTGAGCCCAAGTATGTTATTGCTGTACTAGAGGTCTCAGTGTTGTACCTGTAAAGATTAAGCCATAACTGAGGCACTCAATTATCCAATATTTTGACATTCCCCCCTCCCCCCAATATTTGCTCACATTTTCACTAATTGGGTGCTCTGCAACATTCTACACCTGTATGTGCATGATACTGCCTCAATGTCAGCAATTGGGGCACCACAGGTAAGATCCTGGATTGGAGACCCTGGAGTTAACCAGAAGTAAATATGTAAGGTGAAATCTAAATTGTCCCATGGATTTTTCACTCTGGGCAGAGAGAAATCTGAGTTGTGTTGCTCAGCTTCAGGATGTTTCTGCATTTTTGCCATTTACTATTTATCTTTAAAAGAAGACTTAAAAAGCAGTTGATCCTTTTCCCACAGATCCCAGGAACTTTGCAATCTCTTCTTAGCTGTGGTGTGGCTTCCCCTACCAACATTCTCCCTGCAGGATATCCCACAGACTGAGGCAAGGAGCCCTTCCCTGGGAAGGGAACTTGAACCTCTGCAGAGCAGGAACTGAAGGGAGCCCAACATCTCTCGCTTTCCAGGACTCAAGGTAAGTAACTGCTATTACAAAGACAGGCTTAAACATCCTCCTTACAAAATTTAGGGCAAACTCCTACTTTCAAGAGATCACTTACCTACCAAAGGGATTAGGAAATTCCCTCCTCTGGTCCTCAGCAAGCCACTCAAGAGAGGGGTAAAATACCTGACATCTCCTCTTGCCACCCAGCCTCTATCAGGCAAGTAGACATGGAATGGAGGACCTGGGCCCTTACTCTAGGAAACGAGGATTTGACAACTCCAATTCTTTTCTTCTCTCAATTCTGTAATGTTCTACATGCATGATTAAACTCTGAGTTGGTGAATCCTGATGACTCAGTATGTGTATAGTTAAATTAGTTTCCTGTTCCTGGACCTTTTTTGAAAAAATCAGTATTCATTTCAGCTTGTGGTGACAGCTAAAACTGTAAGAAATATTAAGCTAGTATTTTTATTTTCAGAGTGTGCTTTGAACAGAGAAGCCTTAATTTAAGTTATTTTAGCAGTTCATTTCCCAAAAATAACTAAATCACTCTTTCTAAAATCCATGTGCAAGCCGACTCATAAAGTTCCACTCAAGCCATGGCATAGCCACAATGGATTTAATGCAAAAGTAATTATCTCTAATTTATATGAAGACCACTCTCAGTGGAAAAAAAACTTCAGGAAGAAATCTTTCAGAATTAGCTAACAGTCAGACTAAAAGCAGGGGCAGTCTGGAGAAAGGATATTTATTTATTTTAAATAAATAAATAAATTTAATTCTTGAATGGCTCTAGAAAATTCTGTATCAGTGATGGAATTTTCTATTCAATTACATGGGGTGATTCAAATACATGAAAAGGTAATTACAAAACTTCTATTAGGTTCTGCTCACAGTATAGTCAAAAAAGACTATGATTTAACTGAGACTAGAATTTCAGACATGCTTTAACATGTTTTCAGTGTTACTCCCTGCAGAGTCATCCTACAGGATGTATAGATCAGTTTATTTACAGACTAAGTGCCTGGAAACAAGAAAGGTTACCATATGAAATATATTCAAAAACCTGGAATTAATTTTATAACTTTTGCTAAGCGAATTGGTAACACACAGCACAACTGGCCCAACATCTATAGATCTGCTTGTAATTATTACTTTCTACTACAGAAGCTTCCTGTCTATTACCATATGAGTAACCATTGAGTCACAACAGTAAAAATGTCACTCTGACTCAATACTGCTAAATGCCATTTTCAGAAAAGGAAATAAAAGCATTGAAGTGACCAATAAAATGGAGAAATTGTGTTTGGTATCTCCTTTATGCAGGTTGAGGCAATTTTTACAAATTCCTTTAAACACTACAAAATGGAAAGTGCATAAGATGTAATTTAAACGTGCTTTGCCATTATCATGTTAAGCAGTTGACAAGGTTCTGGTATAATCAGTGGTATAAAGGTCCCAAAGTAAAATCCTAAATAGTCACTACATAAAATATCACTTTAAAATAGAGTTCTGTAAGAATCTTAATTTATCAATAATCATGTATCACTAAATAATAAGCTTATAAAGGATTTTCTTTCACACAATTCTTGCCTCTCCCTTCCATCACAGTGCTAGGCCCATGTGAGCTGTGCCTGCACTAACAGAGCTGCAAGACTCAGTGCAGGAGAAGCAATCAAGGTTGGAGTGACAGCAAAAGCATCAGATGCTACTGATGGCTCTTCCACACACACTTCAGTCCTCAGACATCACAGCAGAACAAAGAACCTTCCTGACTCCAGGGCTTCCTAGTAAAGACAGATTTGAAGAGGCACAGACACTCTCCTAAGAGATAAAAATAAAATGCTGATACATTCTATCATAAAATAAGCCTGTAAGATCAGAATTACATAGTGTTAAGGTATTTTATTCCAATTATACAGTCTAGGTCACATTCAACTGTTTAGCCTAGCACAAATCTCAATTAATCCACAGTGTAAGTTCCTTTCAACCAGCTTTTTAAATGAAGTATTAATGAAGGCACATAATTTAATCTTCTGTCCCTCCATCTATAAAAGGATTTTTAAATATCATTGAACAACAGCACTTGGATACTAACAGTCCACTGCAAAGACTTCCACTGAGAAAACAAGGTGAAAAAAAAATACTCCCATCCCCAAACACAGAAGTTGTACCAAAAAAAAGCCAAAGAAAGGTTTGTAACAAATTTTACTTATAGAAAAGCATAATTTTAGCATAGTTTCACAATAAAAAGGCAAGATCTGTTTGATATTATAAAGACATGGTATATCAATTCAGAATGCAACAGGTAAAGCACACTGTAATACTCAGTATAAAAGGTTTGAGATACATTATTGTATTTAGCCGGTTACTCTTGGTGCCTCTTTGTGGATATTTTCTTAATTACAGGATATTTTCTCTCTGCTTCATACATGTCAGAAATATATTTTGGAATATAAAAACACAGAAGTGTTGGAATACATTGAAACATGCCCAGAAAAATCAAACCCAGGACCCATTTCTCTCTATACACAAACAGCTCCATCTTGTATATAAACTGTCTGTCCCATCATTCTACTCCCCCTTACAAAAAAAGATAAAAAAATCTTGATGAAGAGAATTTTTCCATCTTCTCACTTCTGCATTCATGCAACTTCATTATCAGGTTTCCTTTTCCAAATATTAAGATGTAAAATTAACAGTTACTTTTCCTGGGGCTTTTCCAACATCTTCAGTGCTAATCTTCCAACCATAAGCAAACTGTATAAGGGGAAAAACCATATCATTTAACAATAATAACTATTTGTCAATTCATTTTCAAATACTTCATGTAAGTGATGCATAGGTACAAAAATAGTACACAAAATATTATACACTCCATCTCAGTTTAATTAAGCAAATAAGAAATCACACAAAGGAGGTTAAAAAAAGTTATTGTACCTGACACCAGCAATCAGCCCTGCAGGCATGAATTTTCTGGAGTGGTAAAATCTTGTTCCCATGATGGCAGTCAGTGCTCCAGATGTAACTTAAATGAGAGATTGTAGAGCCCAGTCAGCAGAGATGCCATGTGTGGGAGAAACATAATTAAAAACTAACAGAACAGAGAAAAGTAGCAACATCAAGTAAAAAGAGAAACAGGGTTACTTCATCTGACAGACTAAGAGAGTCAATAAATTGTGTAAATTTTAAAATGCCTCAGTTTGTAAAGAGTAAGTATTCTATACCAAGTTATAGCAGACAGTGCACTCCATGTTCTTCTGCACACACTTCCCAAATTTGTTTTTCAAAATGTTCTCTTTTTGAGACTGGAAATAATTTACCATACGCTGCTCCAGAACTCATGCCTTCCCCACAGAGGCAAATCATTAAACTTGTGCACATAATTCCCCCAGTTCTCAAAAAAGGGAGAGAGCATTTGTCTAACTTGTAGTGATCATATCTAACATGTAGCATCATGTCTAACTTGTAGTAATGTTCTGAGAATTAACTAATTTATGTTTTCAATAGATTTCAAAAGGGAAGCGTGCTAAGCATTACTAAGGTGAGAGTTAATTGTCCCTGACCACTTGACACAGAGACAGGAGCATGGTAGTTTCATTGACTCAGTAAGATAGAAAGGACAGTCCCTGGAACACAGTGTCTCAAATAAAGACTGAATGCTAAAAACCTGTAAGGAAAACATACACTGATGAAATCCTTATCCTCAGTATGCATTTGCTACCCAGTGGTAACAGCTACCCACATATTCTTCCAACAACTCTTTTATCCCCTACTGTTGCTTCTATGTTATGACTGGTCATGTAGGATCCAGTTCATCTTCAGTCCTAGCAATGACATCCTTCCTCCCTAGCACCAGCCAAAATATTGTCACTGATATCTATTAATCTCATGTAATGAGATATGTAAGCAACTGGGACTATAGTCTAACACACAATAAAACTAAAATATTTCAGTATTAAAATGCTCCAAACTCCAATTAGTAGCCAGTCTTCAAAATAAGCACACCTCATAATGGAATTTTGTTTCAAGCATCAGTAGAACCCATCTTCTCCAAAAACTTTAAAGCATGAACAGGAAAAGACACCATATGCTACTGAGCTACAGAAATGTATCTGTCTCTCTCATTTGGGAAAACACTTGACCTCACACTTCTTAAGCTTGCTGTGTTGGCAGTTTATCAAGGCTTGACCCTGCACAGCTTCTGGCCTGGCCAGTAGGTGTGGGAGTGGACTGCCTGTAAATAAAGCTGAAATGGAGAGAAATGCTGGGCCTTCTCTGTTCATTTCTGATTTCCACATGTCAAAGGGGCAGATGCTATGTCACTGCTTCAGGGAAAAAATACTGTAGTCAGAGGTGGCTCTTAAACACTGACTAAGCAGTAATTCTCCACAACTTCTCAAATCAGGGGGAAGGAAAGCTCCAATCCTGAGATGGAAGAAACAGCATTACTTCTCGCTTAAATCTCCCCAGGCCTTAACACCTTTGTAATTTTACATATTTGTCATATATAGATATAAGCCAATCACAATCTCTGCCATTTTCTGTGATAAGAAAATAGTCTGCTAGGGGTGTATAGTCATTCTGAAGGGGAATCCCACTTCCAAAAATGTTACGGCCTCCTGCAGGATGCTCGAAGTAGGAGGATCCAGCCAAAAAGAGGTCAGAAATTCATTTATTCACTTTCCTCACTTACTTCACTACGATCCTTCAAACATATCAGTATGAGACAGATGCATGTCAGCAGCCACCAGTTCAGTAAAGTTTAGACAGGACTGAAGTTAGATTTGTAACACTATCTGTGTTTAACTCTTCTTCAAAGACTTTCAGGTACTCATTTTAAACATATAGGGTAAACATAATATTTTTCTAAATAAAATTTTAAATTACTTACTCAGAGAAACCCAAATGTTATTTGGATTCTGTGAGATCTGATAAGCACCCAGTCCAGCCAAACTCCCAAAGAAAAGGCCAGCAGCTAGTGATGGAACACTGCCTGAATAAATAGAAGACAATACATTATTAGAAACTTAAAGATTAACTTGGTCAGAAGCTTACCTGTTTTGTAAAACACCAAAAATTATAAAAATAAATAAAAAAAGGGCATTTATCGTTCATTGTCATAAAGAACATTAGAGAAAGAGTTAAGATATTGAGACCATGCTGATCAGGACCAAGAAACACTTAAATTACTCCTGCATAGGATACATACAGAATTAGTATTTAGTTCTCTAAGAGCAAAGCCATTAACACATCCATGGTTGAAAGAACAGTTAGAAAAACAAAAGAATTGGTGTTTTCCTTGCACAAACTGAAGCATGTTGTCTCAAAACAGTATTATGAAAATTCCTTGAGAGGCAGTAAAGTAGGAGGACGAAATTGTAAGGATTTAAGATCAGAAAAAAAGGACGTGCATGGAATTGGGCAGGAGGCCATTCAAAGAATTCCCAAGGAGCAGGGCTGAGCTGAACAAGAGAGGTTATATCTTCTAAGTACACCTGAGACTTGATCCAAAGGTAACTGCAGACTTTGGAAGAAGATTCCCTGAATGCACCAAAACTTTGAATTAAGTCCTCAGTGTGAATGATAATCCCAAACTACCAGAAAATAAAGGATACCAGACCTATATATCAAGTAATGAAGTAGCATGATTACTGTGAGTAGTGAATGTCCTCCATAAGGCTAATGGAGAATTAAGGACTTAATGCTACTGAAGGTGGTTCTTTATACATTCAATTTCTGAGGTCACCTTTCAAAGACTTGATATTGAAAAGGTAAGTTGATAAAGATCTTCTCTCAATGTTAAAGGAGGACTGCATATTGCTTCCAGAAAGTAATTATTTTTCAATCATCAAAAAGGTTGCTGTAATATTGCTTTATATCCTGCTTTTGGTATAAAAAGCAAGAGACAAAGATGACAGAAAGCACCTGTCTTGTACATGTGCAAGGAAAAGTTGCACACTCTAGTAGGTGGCTGCTTTGCACACAATATGAGTTAAAAAAAAATAAAAATCTGTGGTAGCTACAATACTTTCCACAAGCCTGGGAGACAAGAAACATCCATCATATCATTTTACCTCAAGGCAATGTTTAAGTAGCTATGACACATATACTTACTAGGACAACCACATCACCTCTGGCTCAAGAAGTTCCTACATCTCAAAACACAGGGACCCAGAGAACTTGCTAAATGAAGACAGAAAAATCCATCAATGAATCAGTAAATCACTCACTCACTCTTTGATTGCCATGCTCTCATATTCTTCCAGAGGCACCTACTACTGCCCCCTGTCTGTGTGGTTTTAAAAGAACAGATGAGATCAATTCAGCTCTGTGCATGGACGTTCCACTTGCTTTTGGTTTCTCCAAGATACTAGTAAGGATACAATGGCTCCTTTGTATGGCTGGGTTTTTTTTCTGTCCAGCAGTCATCATATGAGTTTCTGTTCCCCTTCAATAGCCTTGTGACCTGAATTCCCTTGCCTAAGCACAACCATGTCCTCTCAATCGGGTTCCAGCGGACAAGAAATACACCTATCATTTCATTATGGCCTTGGAGAAATACAGATGCAATTATTCACTTAAATTCTCAATATTGTCCCTTCTGTCCTAAACTCCACTCACAATCCAAAGGAAAAATCCAAGCCAATGGAAAACAGACTGGAATAGGCACTAGCATCTATGTAGTCAAATGCACTGGTAAGAGTCTCACTGACTTCAGCAATGCCCCTTCCTATCATAAAAACAAAGATGGCTTAGTGATTTTCAAAGCTGAAAGAGACAGTGTTGCAGCAGGAATGAATCCACAGCTCTGTCTGGAGGAGGGCCAACTCAGAAAGAGGCCAGGAAATGAAAGCAGTAGGTCAGAGAGTAAGCTTATGATGCAGAGCCCAGAAGAGAAACAAGTTTAAGGACTGATTTGCACTGTTCAGCTCTACTTGCAGAAAAGATAGTTCTGAAAGCTCTCTGCAGCTTGCAGTATACTGTTATCATCAACGATTAAAACGGGAATAAATCTCTTAAGGAGGAAATGTGGTGATTTATGTCAGACAAGAATGCTTGTATTTTGAACAGCAGGGAAAAAGCCTTCCTGAACCAAACTTATGACAGTTCACCCAAAGAGCACAGTGCAGATATCAGCATCCACCAGAAAGCAGATTATAGCCTTATCAGCCCAAAGCACCAGCTCAACTCTAAATCCACCACACCCCAACAGCAGCAAGTTATCAGCATATGGCACAAACCGATAAAATTTACATATGGGTCAACTTCGAGATAGGAGGGTTTCGTAAAAAGCTGCTTAGCTCACACCAAGTTATTGGGGAGAGGGAGGAGGGGGTGGGGGGTAAGGGGGGTGGGGGGAGACAGAAGCACCTTTCGGCACCCTACCTGCTTTTGCATAGCCAATGATCCCTCCTGATGTCACCAGGGCGGCGTAGCCAAAGCCGAGCCAGTCCACTGCCATGCCGAAAACTGGAAGACAAAATTGGGGTGAAGATCAGCACCTCTTAACCTATTTCAAGGGAGGGAAAAGAAAAAAAAAAAGCAAAGCATTTTGCCGTGGCGGGCTTTTCCATGAGCAAGGCCAGCCTAAAGCCTAAGCCCTGAGGCGAGCGCAGGAGATGCAGGCGGCTGTGTTGGGAAGGCAGCCCCGGGGCACAGGGACACTGCCGGGTCTCACCTGCGCAGCGGCCCCGCAGCAACCGGGGCGGAGCGGGCGGCGGAAGGGGAGGCGAGGGAGCCACGCACCGCCCAAAGCTTCCCTTTTCCGGCTGTTCTGAGGAAGGAAAAAGAAGCCCTAAGCACGAAACCCAAGCGAAAACCCAGCCAAGAGGCAGGGCAGGGTGCTCCCCGCAGCCGGGGGTTGCGGAGCAGGAGGCGCTGGTGTCTTTCCAGCTACTTGTAGAGCTCCCGGGAATCCCCCGGCACGGCGAGGGGTGGGTGTCGGGGATGCCCGAGCAAGCCCCGGTGCCTGCAAATGACTCAGTACAGACCAGGTTGTGTGCTCATGCTCAGGGAGAGGCAAAGCTGAAGTTGTGTCCGCAACCAGAAGTGGGGTTACGTGGTACAGCTGAGAATTTGGGGCTGGGATTTGGTGTGGCATGAGCTACAACTCTGGCCAGCCTACAGGCTGCCTCTGGCTTTGATCAGTAATTTCAGTATAGCTCTTGTATGGAGCACTTAGAGGGTTTCCGGGACCTCCAGATTACAAACTAGTGCACCAGAAAAAGCAGTCTTCTGCTGTAGAAGTTATGCAACAGTGGGAGATGGAAAACATCTTGTAAAGAAAATGTTGGGTTTTTTTTTTTTGAATCCAAAATGTAGAGATGTTTATAACTACCTACAAAGCTAAACTCTTTATCCTTTCCGAGTTCTGAAACTGATTTTCTTCTTGTAAATTGTCCTCCATGATTTTATTCCAATTGTTCATGCATTTCCTTCCCATGGACCTTTCACCATATAGAAAGGGAAAGTACTCCTGCAGCCAGATCCCTAAACTGAGTGGGTTTGATTCCTCTTCATAATAGAATGCATAAAACATGAAAGGCCTGTACTTTCTGCAAAATGCAGTTTTCCGTAGCTGCATTTAAAAATTTTTCCATCTTTATGAATTAGCCTAATGGTGAGAAAGTGGAGAGCAGTTTAATTCCTTTGTGGTTTAAATAGGAATTTCCTCCCTCTCTGCAAAGTGCCACAGCCAAAAGTGATCTACGCTATACTGGATGGGATTTCCTTTTCAATTCAAGCTGTGCAATAGTTATGAGGTTAAAGCTTTATTAGCAACTGCTTTATGATCCAGCACAGGGATTCCCCAAGAAGGGAAGTAGGAAAACTGGAAGAAATCCACAGCTGCTGGAGCTGTTGAACTCACCTGGGGCTCAGCTGAGATGCTGCTCCCTGAGCTGCTGTTTCTTGCAGCTATGGTTCCACCTGTTCTCCCAGTGTCATGCACGCCCACCCCTTCTGATAGCGATGGCTGTGTCACCACTGACATCTCCTCTCCCTGTACTGCTGCCTCCCCTCCACGATTCTAAGCAGTTCCCTGAAAACTAGAATGGGTAATGTGCTGAAAAGGAAGATGCGCACAAAGATAAAACAACAAATTGCCAAGTACTCAGTAGCAGAGTATTCATTCAAGGTATAAAAAATATGGGTTTTCCCCTAAGGACTGTTCTCTGTCTCCACAAATTGTTCTGAGTCTCATGAGATGTGTAATTCTTTGTTATTACACAGGGGGTTTGGATTTTTACAAATGTGTAGTATTTACTTCTAAGTCCAGACTTTAGAACCCAAATTCTATGGAATTTTTGCTTTTTAATCTTAAAATTATGTGCAGACTGGATTTTTTCCTAGTGCTTCTGCAAACCTGCTTCTGCAATTATGATGACTGTGTCCATAAGCTCATATATTTAAAAATTCAAACAATAAAAACTGGTTTAGTAGAGGCAGACGTTTTGTCAAGGACAAGCTAAGCAATATCAAATAGATGTAACACTTTACAAGTGAAATCACTGTACACAATTCCCTTATTTAAGCTTATACTTTTTGCATCTTATATTTGCCATAGAAGCCTTATGAATTAAAAATCTGTTTTGGCACCTTTCTATCAAGTCAAGAAACCATTTGAATATCAGTATCAATGGGAAACCATGCTATATTATTAGCATGTGTTTGTGAACACAGACATTTAGGGTATCATTAAAATTAAAAGCTGTGTGAGCTCAAAATTTATCTCTTTATTGCTGAGTTAAACTGAACTTGCATAAATCGACTATATTGAATATCCAAACAAGGGGCTCTGATGATTTATCTATGTAAAGAAAACAGAAGTTACAGAAGGTAAATATGGACACCCAGTTCTGCTACTGCTACTGCTACAATTCTGCTACTGCCACTGCTACTGAACAATTCTGTAACACCACTGATGATGCTTATTTAGTTTCAGTGTCAGAGCACAGAGCTGAATTGGAGTTACATCCTGTTTTATATCCCTAAACCAGCCTGCATTCCTGTCTCCAGATTTGGCTCCATCTTTTTTTCTGATTTTCTCTGCTTTTTCTCTTGCTGCACAAATAAGGAGAAATGGATGAAGTGAATCAGAATAAAGCATAATTCCAATTACTCTTTGAAAACAGAAATAGTAATGACTACTCCAGTAGTGCAGAAAACAACATTAACATGCCTTACACCTTAAAATAAAGGAAACATTTAGTTCAGCTTTTTTTACCTTGTTCTCTCCGGCTCACTGTATATTTGCTATAAGGCATAGGAAAAATTCCTGTTACCACTGACTGAGAAGGTCAGGAATTTAGTTTTTGTTTAAGTGCAAACAAAAGAGATAGGTGACATTTTATCGGGATGTCAAAAATTTCAAGTGTTACATAATTCTCTTTTAACAACATGGCTTAGATCAAGGACTTGAAAAAATACAGTGGGAAGGTGAAGAAAAGGTAAAACCTTACTGACATAAACTATTCCACCTAAAATTATGTATCATATTCTGAACAAAATGTTTCAGTCATGTGAACCATGGGTGCAAAGATTTTTAAAAAATTTAAATATATTCAGTATGAACACAGTAAAAAAGCCAAACATTGTGCTTATAAACTCCATGTATAATTCCACATCAAGAACTAGAAATTACTGTTTTCCATGAGTGTAAGAACAGGATGTGATGATTGTATTTTAAGTAATTTTTAACATGTTCTTTTTTACAGTTGGAAAAGAAATGCAGGACAAAGGCAGACCATACCTTGAGTCAAATGAACAGTAACATTGTCACCACTAAACTGAAAATGTGTATATGTTTTTAATATGCATTTAAGTGAAACAAAAATTTATCTGAGACAAATGCAACTGTTTTTATTATTTTAGCTGGCTTTTTCAGAGCCAGTTAAAAAGAGTATGGTATTGTTAATATAAAAATATAAACATTACATATTATGAATTTATTTTTGCTTTGTTCACTTAGGGAAAGTTCCAGAATGATCTGTAAGTTTATTAGGGTAGGAACATGAATTACTTTTAAACAGCACATCAGATCAGAGGTCTATGTCCTGTTAGGGTTTACATTCTTAAAAAAACTAGGGCAACACCAGCATTTGCAGGTAGATACAGGAGAGAAAGTAGTTGCCTTCATGCTAAGCTATTCTGTTTCTTTTTCTTCTTTCGCACTGGAGCTTTCAGCTTTTGTTTCCCTGGAATAATTTTTCTCTTTCTTTTTGCTGTTTTAAGCCTTTTAGTAGTCCAAAAATCTTTGTTTATCCCGGCTACTGATGATTTTTCATCTTCTGTTTCTGAAAAAAAGGAAGGAATTATTCACACTGACCTTTATGTCCAGTCTTTGTAGTCTGAATGGCATAGGACTTACTTGTATCTTATTTTCAAAAAAGGGTTTTAAATAGCCTTTTATTTTACAGTGTAAAGTGCCATTTATGCTAGTTTTGCCTGTAAAATTAAAATATATAAAGATCAAGTATGTAAATGGATTACAATGCAGGAAAACAACAGCAGAAAACCCAAACAAATCTCAGCTAGACTTTGTAAGTTTGCCCAGCTACAGTAGCCTCAGGCCTTATTTTGCTTATAGGAAAACAAGACATGCAATTCTACCAACTGTTCATTTTCTTATCTGTCTCAAAAGCTTCACAGTGGGTTCCTCAGTATATTCCAGTAAACAGAAAGAAAACTTTTATTAAAGTGAAAAGAGTAGTTATGTTCTCCAACAAACATATGGGCTTGAGACACCATCAGATTGGTAAGTGTATCTGTATCACTTGCCAGCATCATACCCCCCTCTTCTTTAAAATACCAGAACATTTTCCAATGGATATAGTAGAAACCTCCAACTTGGTGTATTCCATTTCACATTAACAATTCAAAATACGAAGTTCTGTTACCTTGAGATGATGTTGCAGTTTTATCAGAGTTTTTTTTCATTTCTGAAGCTTGGTCAAGCCATACTGCAAGACATGTCAGCCTAGCTTTGGTATTGACTTCACACAGTAAAGACGGCCCATCTTTAATCTGAAGAAAACATAAAAGAAGATTATTTAAACCTTATTTTATTTCTGGTTAAATTTAATGAAGTATTTGTAGTGAGAAGACATCTTGCTGCCCACTTTCATTGTTAGGCAATTGTATCACTCAGCTCTTGGAATACAAATACTCTGTTAGAGATATCAGGGGATAAAGTGTCACATCACATGTGCAGTGTTAACACCATCAACCCACTGGAAACTACTGTATTAGGATATTCTACCCCTCAGAGCTGGACAGAGCAGCCCACACAGTTATGCAAAACTTTGCCTGCAGGAGAAAGGAATTTGGTCAAAATAAATACAGTGTTACATGGAAAGAGTTCCCTGATTACTCTGTCAATTCTGTCCAAGTGGAACAGAAATATAAGGTGAAAAGGTAAGAGGGAGATCACTCTTGCACTTACAAGTATAAAATAATCAGAGTGGGTGAAGTTAAAAACGGGCAAATTCAGATTTGAAGTGTATATATGTTGAGAAATAATTATATGAACTATCCAAGATACTTATTGTAAAATATAGTAGATCCTTTGTACCTAGGCAATAAATTTTAAAAATCTACTTCTGATTTTAAGAGCAAACAATAAACACAATAAACTTTAAAGATCAGACATGATTTTTTGTTGAACTGTGCTACTCAGAACTGTTTGAAAATACAGGAAATAAAAGTACACAGTACATTTATGTATTTTAATTTTTCTAAAGGATAAGTTCCTCCCCTGACATGAAAAACCACCTTCCCCTGCCCAAACCAGACTTTGTGTTTTTAAAAGAGTAGCAACAGTCACCAACATTACAAAAATTGACAACTGTCCTTACATAATCATAACATACATAACTGATTAGATAGTCATAAGCCTGGCTAGGTCTGATAGGAAACGTGACTTTATGTAAAGTGGAGATGAGATCTCATAATATCATTAGATTTTATAGTTTTTTTATTAAAATAAACAAAGATAAAAAAATACAAGTGCCTAAATATTTGTGCACAGACATACATCTCTA